GGATGTGGGAGTGGTGCGGACAGGCAGACTGAAGATGAAGCCAAGCCAGGACGGACTAGCTTATAACTCATGCACATACTGTACATTTGGGGTCTAATAGTTTCTCCGTATCCCCTAGAGTGATGGGGGCCACCGGTGCATCTTCGTGATCCTCTGGTTGAGGTTGGAGTGGATTCCATTTGGGCTCTAGCAAGTTCAGGAGCTGTCGTGCTTTCACGTAGCACTTGTGGGGGTTGGTGCAGCCTGGGCATGCATTCCTGGTCATCTTGCACGCATCGCACGCGCAGTTGGATCTCGGGTGATGTCGGTTGTGGGTGAGTTTCCGTGCAAGGCTCTCGGTGTCTTTCACTGTCTTGACCCCATGGTTCATTTTTAGGCAGCGTACCTCGGTGCCTATGTTAAAGACTCCGCATCCAGCGTTGGATTTGACATGGTACCAGATCGGCGCCTCGCCCATAAGTTTTCTGGAGAACGCGAGTCCATCCATTTGGACTCCCCTCTCGCATGCTACTTTCAGCATTTCCACTAGGTCCTGGAGTTTGAGTGTCCGGCCCGATTTCCAAGCCTGTAGGAATATGCAGGTGCGCAGCTCCTTGTCTACTCTTTTGCCTGCTTCCGGCGACATATTCAGTGCGATGAGCTCATCAGCGGCAAATGCCCAGAGCGGGCGCGAGGGGCCGAAGTCCAGGTAGGATTTCAGCCACGTTGCCGTTATAGCTTCATTGCGGGCAACAATGTCCAACAGGTTGCGCCCGCCCATGTCAATCGGTGCATATACCGTCTCCTTATTGACGACTATGAGTTTTTTATCCTCCCACAGGAATGCTCGGATGCGGCGCTCTAGTTTCGCCTCTACCTCAGGGGGCATTCCTTGTACCTTGGCCAGGTACTGGGTCATGCCGCCTATGACCATCATGACGATGAGTCTGCGGCCTTCCATCGTGGGGTGTCCCTTATCCCACCGATCGAGGGCATCGTCGATCTTGTCGATCGTCTTTGCCCATGTGGCTGCCTGGTCCACTTTATTCCCCACCCAAGCTCCGAGTGTGCGGATGGGCTCGCCCTCCTTGGCAATTGTTATGTGGTCCGCAATCTTTGTACCGTCGACTCCATTGACTGTGCACGATGCCCTCACTTGGTCCCTGTGAGCGCGTGTCCCCACTGGTATGATTTCTGTTTTCTGAATATTGAATTTTGCTCCTGACACAATGCACCATTCTTCTAGTATGTCAAGGAGGGACTGGAAGTCATCTCGGGAGTTCAGATATACCAGTGTGTCATCTGCGAATAGAGTTGCTATGACTCTGTCATCGACCTCCTTGAGCTTAAAGCCTTTCAGGCCAGATTGTCGCAGCGCCTCGGCAAGCGGTTCTATTGCGAGGTCAAAAAGTAGGCATGATAGGGGGTCACCCTGTCGCACTCCGCGCGTAACTTTGAAGGGTCGGTCACTTGCCATTCCATTGACGATCACAGTTGTGTACGCATCACTGTACAGAGACCTTACAGTGCTAATAAATTCTTCCGGGATCCCGAAGCATTCCAGGGCCATCCATAAGTAGTCGTGCTCAATTTTATCATAGGCTTTCTCCTGGTCGAGTGCTACAATCACTCCGTTCTGCTCAGTGGCCTCGGCCAGCTCAATGATGCGCTTAGTGAGCCATATCTGGTCGTAGATGTGTCGACCTGGGACAAATCCTGCCTGCGCTGGGTGTATCAGGTCAGGCACGATTCGCGCAAGCTTTATTGTGAGTGCTTTGGTGAATATTTTATAGTCTGTATTCAGTAGTGATATTGGTCTGTAGTTAGATATCACTGCAGGGTTGTTTTTCTTGTATATAAGTGCCATCTAGCTTTTCGAGAATCCCGTCCCAGGGGTCACGCCGTGCGACTCGATGTCATTGTACAGTAGGTGCAGCAGTCCTATTATGTCAAAGGCAGGCTTTCCCTGGAAAGACTTCGTTTGGAACCTGGAGTCCAGCACGCGCCACACCTCATAAGGTATGCCGTTTAGCCCAGGTGCTTTATTGTTAGCAGACAGCTTTAGCGCAAGCTCGACGTCCCCTCTTGTTAGCTGCCTACGCAGATTGTCGGCCTGCTGCGCGGTGGTTTTTCGGACCACTCGTTGGAGCACCACTTCAATTGTTGGGTCTCGTATGTCCGGTGCGGTGTCCCTCCGCACCTTTTGAATTTTGTTGTGGTAATTCCTAGCTATCGTGGCCATACGTTGCGAGTCAGTCTCATATTTGGCTGACATATTCGCCATTGGGTCATGTCCGGGCTTGAGAAGCCGACGCAGCACGTCTCTTGGTTTTTTCGTTTTATTCACGTTTGACCAGTATTGTCCTATAACTTCACCTTCAAGGTGATTTTTGATTTTCGCAGATATTCTGCTCTTCTCATGCTTTGCAATGTGTATTTTCGCCAGGCGCTCAGTCAGGAGGGCCGCCGATAGTATGACTTCCTCCTCCGGAATCGTCGGGTTGTTAATTATCAACTGGAGGTCTTCCTCCAGCAGCCATATTTCCCTCTCCGCCTTCGGGATGAGAATTTTCGAGTGCGCGCGGGCCTTGTCTCTAATGTCAGACTGGAAGCTCGCTCATAGTGTCTGGATGTTGGACTGGGGGTCCCGTATCGGCCAGTTCCCGGCTCTGTTTGCCGCTTCCAGGGTCTCCATACCCCTTTTGTGGATGAACTCGGTGAGTTCCTTGTCGCTGGTTACATGTAGGGGCCAGACCCATCTCCCGGGCCCAGTCGTTGGTGCACCTTCTTGCGTTATTCGGACGGAGACCATCCGGTGGTCCGTGGATATTCCCACCGTACTTATTTGCCAGTCGTAGGCTTGTGAGTACTTATCTCTGCAAATATATATCCTGTCGAGGCGGGACTGTGACCCTCCCCCCGCATTTCGGGATTGGAGGTATGTGTAAGCCCGTGTGTTCGGGTATGTTATGCGCCATCCATCAATGAGCTTCAATTTTGTCAGGAGTAGGTCCAATGCCGTGGTTGGCGCTTTGGGGTTGGCATGGCACGGGAGCCTATCAATCGGTTCTTCGACAATGTTCGTGTCGCCCCCCATCATGTCTGGTTTTGGCACTGCCGGGTTGTCCTCGAAGAACTTACGCAGTGTTTCCCAAAAGGCTGCATTATCCAGGGGTGCATTCGGTGCATATATACTGAGGACAACTGTCACTGGGGACAATAAGCAATATATGGAGCCTGTGTATCCTCAGTATATCCTCAGTATTTTACAAAAATCCCCAGAATATACCCCCAATATACAGGGTCTGTATATGCTCAGTATTTTTGAAACATACTGAGGATATCCTTACAATATCCCGAGGTCTGATGGCTACCATATATGGACTCAGGATATGCTCAGTATTTTGTAATACAACATGTACAAACAATGTCCAAAATATAAATAAAAGACCTGCCTTGTAAGGAGAGGCTCAGCTGAGGGCAATTAAGAAAATTAAAGTTAGGGTTAGGGTTTCCTTATAAGGTATATCTTATCTTATAAGGAAACCCTAACCCTAGCATCAAGTTCCCAATTTCACCTCAGCTGAGCCTTCTCCTTACAAGGAAGGTCTTTTATTTCTATTTTTGGACATTGTTTGTACATGTTGTGTTTCTAAATACTAAGCATATCCCGAGTCCATATATGGTAGCCATCAGACCTCGGGATATTGTAAGGATATCCTCTGTATGTTTCAAAAATACTGAGCATATACAGACCCTGTATATTGGGGGTATATTCTGGGGATTTTTGTAAAATACTGAGGATATACTGAGGATATACAGGCCCCGTATATTGCTTATTGTCCCCAGTGTGTTTTCTGCCCTTTGTGAGTTTCGATTTCAAGCATCATCGCGCGGCCCGGGACAATTTCCCAGGTGCATATGTCATCCGTGCTAATTAGGTCTTTGTTGATCACGAATGCTACGCCTTTTGCACTTCAGGCTACCTCAAAACCAACCTCACTAGGTACATCTTTCTCAATTAGATGTGGGGCCTAAGAGGACCTCAGAACATGGGGGCATCCATGGCGTATGGTTCCATCCATGTGTGTGGGGCCACCCACCACTTGTTCCTGGATCCATCCACCTGTGTCACATCATGACGAATGTGGGTGCAACCATGCCCAGCTCGTTTTGGGGATTTTGGCACCCCACAGGGCCGATTTCGTGGCTGCTGCTAGGCCCTGCTTCTGCCCCCTTCTTGTGGCTATAGAGGGGGATGCATACAGCACTATTCCATGCACTGCAGGGCTGCAGAGCCTGCCCATGGGATCATCTATTACCTACAGGCCAGCTCGTTTTGGGGATTTTGGCACCCCTATGGGACCAATTTTGTGGCTCCTGCTAGGCCCTGCTCCAGCCCCCTTCGTTTGTGTATGTGGACCCTCCCATGGACCCAGGTGGATGGATCCATATGTCGGGTACATGGTTCCACCCACAAGGAGCATGGATGCACCCATATACACATGGATGTACCCACATGAATCTTATGTGGTGCCACCCATTGACATGGGTGGATCCATGGGCAGAAAATAAAATAGCCCATGTGCATCCACCCACCCATATGGTGGGTCCAACCACCATTTGTTTGGTTTTCGATGGTTCCACCCAGGCAGGAGTGGGTGCACCCACCATTTTATTTGGTTCTCACCTGGGTCCACCCATGGTGGTGTGGATGTAACCACCCCCCTTGTTTGGTTCCTATATGGATCCACCCACCTTGACGTGGGTGCACCCACACTTTTTTTTTCTTTCTTGCCCCTTTTTTATCCCTCCCTGTTTTTCCCTCCTATAAAGTATCATCAAACACTATTGTATATCATTATTTACACAAAATATCATAACAATGTTGTTCCCTGCCTTTCTTAGTGCAACTGGACCAAAACTTCCTAATTGGGAAGTTGGCGGTAGTAGTCTGCATTTGGATATTCTCTTTGGTTTGGGAATGTGAGGGAATATCATTATAATGTCCTTCTCACCATAACCTCGTAGCTTAGTGGTTATAGCCCCACACCTTATTACTTCCCTGATCACTATGGCTTGCGGACGTCGCAGCTTCAATTCCTGCTGAGGTCATTATTATGGTGCTGTCTTCTCTTTTTAATTACATTGCCCAAGTATCTGGTATCTATTGACTGCTAGCATCACATATGCACTCTCCTGGTCTTCATTCATGCCCGCGCTTGCACTGCGCTCTGCACCCGACCCGATCCGGAATAACTTCCTAATTGGGATGTGGGTGGTAGTGTTCCCAATTGGGATCAGGGACTTCACAAAATTTTTGGCTACCTTATTTTTTTTTTTGAGAAAATTTGTTTCAAAATGCATTGCATGTGATGGATGAAATACATAAAGCAGAACAGGAACTGGACAAAGTATAGAGCAAAAAACTGTATGTAACGAGGGAAATGAATCTAAAGGGGCTTGAGAGTAAAAGTGACTTGCATATGAACAACAAATGGCATAAGGCATATTGCAGGAGAAAGGTACAGCAGATGGAGGAACATAAATGTGAAACCAGCAACAAATAACTAAAGATCCTCGGCATCTGAGTCATCAATGAGTACTGCGTGCACATCAGCGGCCCCTGCTGGGATGGAGGCCAGCCAAGCGGTGAGACGCTGGGTGCCACCACCAAAGAGGCGGTGAGGGGCACAAAACTTGTGGTCAACCCCAATCAGAGGGTCTGCCGGTGAAAATTAGGAAAGGAAAACAAAGCAGAGGGGCCAGGACACACACCGTCATCGGTGGCCAGCAAGCCAGGCAAACTGGCGGGGTCGCTGTTGTCACTGGCAGCGCTGGTGGGGATCAAGCTCGAGCCGGGCAAAGTGCTTTGCCAAGAGCTTCAAACCTGAATTTTAATCTGCTCTCTTTCATGGGGGGAGGTGAAAATAAAGCCCAGGAAAATCACAGATGCCCGAAATACTGTCAAATTCTAGGGAGGAAATGGTGGAAGGCTCCTCAATCAACTTATGTCTTCTGTTACCTTCTACACAGAAAATCATAGTGGAAGTCTCCTTGGTGAGCAGTACTAGAGCAGTTGTAAATATGAAACCCAAGAGCTAATGTATTGATAAGAGCAATAGGAGCAGAATCTATTGGACATTGGTGAAGATCTTGCCCTCAGAGTCCAACCACTATCACAGGAATTTTGAGAACAGGGATAAAGTGAAGGTAATCAAATGTGGCTGGAATCTATATCACCTGATGTGATAATTACTGTGCTTATATGAATTCCATGGTTTCCATCTTTACTTCTACTGTTTCCATCACACATGTATCTCAGGTTCCACTGTTTCCACCACAGATGTATCTTAGCTTCCACAATTTCCTCGAAAAAATGCACCAATTTCCATGGTTTCCATGGAAAAATAGCCTTTTTGAGAGTGATCGTGAACTCATTTCAAGGTGATTACGAACTCAACTCATCCGGAACCACATCAAAATAAATATTCTGTCAGTTTATGATAAAAGTTTGAGATTCTAAGGAGACAGATCATTGCTTTCAAGGTTATTCTACCTTTAGAACAAATCTGATATTTACTGCTATTTTCTGTGAGTGGTTTTTTGTTTGGACATGGAAAGTACCTGAATGTCACTAATTCTCATATACACACTTTACTTCCTGGTGATGCACAAAATTGATATTTCAGCCAGATTATGATAGAAAGCAATGAATGCCACTGTCTACTGAATTTAGATGTCATTTGGAACCTCTAACATATCTATAATGGCCCTCCAAACCCCAAAAGGTGTGTTTTAATCAATATAATCTATTGGTGTTCCCAGCATGAAAAGACACTGTGAATGCTGAAAATTCAAGCCAGAGCCTTCTTGGAACATTTATGAAGGCCTTGTAAATGTTCACACACAATACTCTACTAACCAGACCAGTATTGATTTCTGAAACACAAGTACCAGCATGTATGCAACTGTTTTGAGAGGTCCTACATGACCCAAGTGGGGCCATTTATGACCAATTATTGCAAGAATGATATAAGACAAGGATAGGAAGCACCCAATGTCTTCCTATATCACTGGTAAGTGCAGAAACACAAAATTATATCAAAATATGATATCTGTGAGTTGTGCAACATCACTCATATGGCATATATGAACCTATCTGGGATATGTTTTATATCAAAACAGGGTTTGATGGTGTGGAGTATTGGCACAATAATCTTGAACAATCAAATAAAAAAATCTGTAGTACTAACTTTTCAATGGTTGGGCACTGTTGATTGTCAGGATTCTTTGGGCTCTTTTTGAATTAATTGTATCCCTGTGGTGGAGTGTTTAATAGTCATGGAATAGCTTATGCCAATTGGCAACATATCAGTGAGACAATTAATTGCAGAGTCAACTAGCAATATATCCCCAGACACCCAAAATGCACTCAAACTGATTGAACAGGCTCTCCTACCAAACATTACATTGCCACTACCGGCTATACGGTTGTATATCATATCTCAGGTGCTCCTAGGATGGATGTGAAGTTTTGAGGGTCCATGAGAGTATAACAGTTGGTTCAACAATCCTTCAGTGTCTTTCCAAATGCTCAGAGTAGATGCAAATCACATTGAAATGAGGATTAACAAAAAAAATCCTTATTTGGCCGAAAGTGTAGTGGTCCTAATTGAGTCAAGTATGTCAAATTGAATCATAATGGAAAGATTCAAGTCATATAATGAATTATTGGGTCAAATGAGGTCCCCCGTGTATCACATGTTCAAGACTGTTGTAGAATGGGACTCCAAAATTAGTTGGTGTTCAAATACTGTGAGACAAAGATCAGAGCTCAGATCAAAGGTTTATAGTGGAAATAATATTACGGTTACCAGTGTAGTGGCTTGTATGTGAAGAGTTAAAAAACTAGAAGATACAGAGAGCCACAGAACATAGAAAAAGTATCACTGGTAATAAGTGAGGAGTGGAAATAGTGGAAAGTTGGCAAAGTCACAAAGGGTTACTGACTGGTGAAAACCAATGGGTGGAAAGGATAGAAATATACTGGAATCGCAAAAGATTACTGACTCCTGAAAATGATGGGTGGAAACAGTGGTATGTTACGAGGGTCACAAAATATTACTGACTGGTGAAACCAGGTGGCGGAAACGGTGGAACGTTATGAGAGTCACAAAATATTACTTACTGGCGAAAACCAGGTGGTGGAAACAGTGGAAGGTTAAAAGAGTCACAAAACAATACTGACTAGCAAAAACCAGGTGGTGGAAACAGTGGAAAGTTAAGAGGGTCACAAAAGTTTACTGACTGGTGAAAACCAAGTGGTGGAAATAAAAGTGTGGGTGCACCCACGTTGAGGTGGGTGGATCCATATAGGAACCAAACAAGGGGGGTGGTTACATCCACACCACCATGGGTGGACCCAGGTGAGAACCAAATAAAATGGTGGGTGCACCCACTCCTGCCTGGGTGGAACCATCGAAAACCAAACAAATGGTGGTTGGACCCACCATATGGGTGGGTGGATGCACATGGGCTATTTTATTTTCTGCCCATGGATCCACCCATGTCAATGGGTGGCACCACATAAGATTCATGTGGGTACATCCATGTGTATATGGGTGCATCCATGCTCCTTGTGGGTGGAACCATGTACCCGACATATGGATCCATCCACCTGGGTCCATGGGAGGGTCCACATACACAAACGTACAGGCTGCTGGAGCAGCTGGGCATTGTTATAGAGTGAGTCGGGTACGGTTTCGAGGCACAGTGGAACACGGGGCTAGACCAGGATGATATAAGACAAGGTATTGAGAGCAATAGTGAGTATTGGTCAAAGCAGGTGAGAAGTATATGATGATGGCGGAGTGGGCAGGTGTTGATCAAAGGTGCAGTGAGCTGTCAGAAAGTGTACACCCCGCAGAGAAATGCAAACAATGGAGCTGGGCCATTTATATTGAGTAATGCCAGTGCTTGAATAGGGATGGACAGAAGGAAGGGGGCTGGAGCAGGGCCTAGCAGGAGCCACAAAATTGGTCCCATAGGGGTGCCAAAATCCCCAAAACGAGCTGGCCTGTAGGTAATAGATGATCCCATGGGCAGGCTCTGCAGCCCTGCAGTGCATGGAATAGTGCTGTATGCATCCCCCTCTATAGCCACAAGAAGGGGGCAGAAGCAGGGCCTAGCAGCAGCCACGAAATCGGCCCTGTGGGGTGCCAAAATCCCCAAAACGAGCTGGGCATGGTTGCACCCACATTCGTCATGATGTGACACAGGTGGATGGATCCAGGAACAAGTGGTGGGTGGTCCCACACACATGGATGGAACCATACGCCATGGATGCCCCCATGTTCTGAGGTCCTCTTAGGCCCCACATCTAATTGAGAAAGATGTACCTAGTGAGGTTGGTTTTGAGGTAGCCTGAAGTGCCTTTTGCATTCAGGTTGCCGGGGTCTTCAGAGAAGATTACCTCAAGTCGCCGTCCGAAGAGGGCCTGGATATTAGCGTGTCGCAGTGCGTTCAGGTGGCTCTCTCCCAGTATCAGTATCCCTGCCTTGTGTTCCTTCAACAGTTGGTTAACATGATACCATTTGTGTTTTGGGTGCCACAGGTTGGGGTTCCCAATCCCGCGGATGTTTAGTGCGGCCACGAGGATTGAGGCCTTGGTATTTTTCTTACGTTTGCCTCCATTCGTGCGGCGGCCCGGTGGGCCTGGGAAGGTGCGTGTAAAGTCTAGCGGCATAGTTGGTCTGTGCGGCGGTAAGCTGTTCGTGAAGGGGAGCGGGTCGTCCTGGTTGCCTACGGGAGGTGTTGGTGCTCTACTACCTCGCGGTGGTGTCGGTGTCACGAAGGGCATTCTGTCGTCGATAGGCGGTGTAGGGGTCCTGGGGGGGATATTGTCATAAAAAACATCCCAGTCTATGGGCGGTGTCAGCGCTTGTGGGGCATTATCGCCTATGTGGGTTTCGTTAACCACTGGGGCTTGATCGCCCCCTTCAGCATGAGTATGCCGGTAATCCCTATATACAGGATCTTCGTCGTTCAATAGACGGTTGTGGTGCCTTTGAATCGGCACAGCACCCGTACTGGTGCCCCCCTGGAGACATACT